CACAGTTTGTTTATGACTTGGCGGAGTCGTGAGAGCTGATAGATGCCGAACAGGATAACGCGGTCGGAATTTGTCAATCTTGTCTAATTTGAGAATATAGGAGACAGGCGTCTCACATGTACGAAGTTTGAAGCAAGCTGCATGCCTAAACTTGTTTAATCTAGTACAAAGTAAGCAAATATCAACAGGTTGGCAATGCACACAATTGCAACAATGTAACAGCTGATTCAAATATCTACTTTTTGGCACTTTTGAGAATTGGTTGATTTTGGCTATTGATGGCCATTGGCCACGAATACTAGAAAATCCGCATCGGCATTATGCAGCATGCATCGTAGGTTTGGTCACTTTGATCGTATTGAAATGTGAAATAAAAGCTAAATCTAAATTAATCTAATAATGAATGTTTAACTTGAATTTAACTTTGATGTTTCGACAAAAATGTAACTAAAATTGTTTCTTCACATGTTAAATTCTATCATGTAACGCAAATTATTTGAAATACTTTAATGATCAAGAATTGTACCGTTTTAGACTTTGCTTAAAGATATTCGAATATCTAAGGTTTTATTACCAAGCTCAATGGTTTTTAAGTTTAGCCTAAAATGCATTTATTCTTTACTTTGCGCCAAATAACTCACAAAGATTGTATTACTTCATCAGCAGCATACTTTTTTCGTCTCAGACTTTATATGGAATATTTCCTCCATTCAAACTTTTTTCGATCATGAAGATAAAACTTGGCTCGCTTACCAAACAAATAATATCAAAGATTTCCATCTCCAGGGCTAGTTCGTGCCCTGAGATAGTCTTTCACTGACTGCGGAACTTCCCCGGGATGTCCCTTTTACAAGGACTTACTAGGACCTTACATGACATCTTCTACATCCTATCTCTTCCTTGTCCTGTTGTCTGTTCCTTGAAGAACGGCAGCTGTTCTTTTCAAATATTTATCAGTTGTGACCGTTGTTGTCTGCAAAGGTCAAGGAACATCCTTGGAGCCTTTTACTATCGTTCTTGTCCCAACATGCATTCTTGCATTGCCTTTAACCACTGTTCTCAAGGAGTAAGTTCCTTTTAAGATTTTTTAACTGAATGTTTTACGTTCACTTTACCGCAAGCGTGATGGTAAACGGTTAAACTAATAGTTCTTGCATTACTTGCATTAAACGTTCCGAAATTATTGCTGTGTAGTAAATTACTAATGTTAGCTATATTTGAAATACAGAGTGATTCTAAATTATTGTTACATTTTTGAAACTCTATAAATGAAAAACCATACAACCTATCATCACGGGTTGAGGATCATTTGAAAGAGGGGATTCTAAAGCTTTGTATGACACCACTTTGGTAAACACAGTTGCAAAACTAGCCTCTACAGACATTTTAAGATTTTATCTACAATTTTAAATTAATTTCACACTTTTACCTCTCTGAATCTCAAAACGTCATACTCTACGTTGAATTGTCAAACGTTTTAAGTAATACTGCAAGGGCTCAATTAGTTCTATAATTTACCACTCAGTCATTGTTTTCCGCCATTATTGTAAGCCGCGAGGAACCTTCAAAAATCAACAAGTTTTCTGTGTTTTATAGTTTGGGACGACTTCAATCATCGAATAGATGTGTGCTGTGCAGCCAGAGGGGGGCATAGAGCATTTATAGTTTTTAGCCATAATCTAGTTCATTTTTCTGTAAATCACCTGCTATTGTGCACATACTTCTTTACGACGCAAGTTTCCTAGATTTTAAATTATATAATTAATTTAAAACTGTAGGGAATAAGCTATTACCGTAGTACTCATGGGAAAACCTGGACCCGGGACCAATTTTTTTTCGTTTTGAGGTCCCTAGAGGCCAAAAATACCATCCGTTCAAATTCATATATATATATATATATATGTGTGTGTCCGTTAGCGCGATAACTCGAGCAAAAATGATCCGATTTCGATGAAATTTGGTACAAACGTGTAAACCTACGTTTACTCGAACGAGTTCGCGAACCAGCATGATCGGACCATGGGAACGGGGGTTTATGGGGGCTTTTATGGGGTAAAAATGGGTTTTCCCCATTTTTGACCCAAAAAACATAAAATTTTGCAATTTATTTCCAAACTATTTTATAGAGCTTAAAAAAACAAATAATTTAGTATATTGAAGCGTTATAAAATGGTTACGGAGAAAATTCCAAAAAAAAATTAAATTTAAAATTCCCATGTTATTCTTATGGAGAATAAGTAAACTGTTGTAGTTTGCTTGTTTATTAACATATTTTGCCCAAATTTGGAAAATGTTTTTATTTCTTACTAACTATTAACATTTTACATAAAAAAACACTTTTACCCCCCCCCCTGTTGCAGCAAACCTAAGTATGTGTTAAACTGATTCTATTTAAATAGGGAATAAATGCGATATTTTTAAGGAGACGTTTTAGTGTAAATCCAATCAGGCAAATGGAAATTCGCTTAGTCTGCAGATTTGCTGCGGCGGGGGTATTATGTAAGGTCTATGAGTTTTAGAAATAACTTATAGAAATTCTAAAAGTAGTTTGTAATCTAATATTGTCTTTATTTGTGGCTCTATTTTATTACCGTACACGAGTCGTTTGAAACACGTTTCAAAATATTCAAAGTGGAGCCTTCTTGATGCTGTAAGGTTTTGGCCGATACATGTCTAAAATACGCACAGCCTGTTAGTTAATAGTTTATAGAAGTTTGCTTTTCATATTTCTTTCTAGTTCAATTGCGTCAAGCAGCTCTAAATTAATCAGTAGTCCTTAACAGCAGTATATTTGTGGTTTAAAAAGGGACCTGCTGTCGTTTAATGACCGTTTAAAGGGACTTTTAATAAATGACCATGGCTAAACAAAATCATATCTTATTATTAAAGCTACAAACGTAATCTCAATACATCCAACACCTATAGTGGTTTCTGCTCTGTAAAAGACGTTCCGATACAAACTGAAACAGATATAACATTTCGGGTCAAAAATCGCGGGACAAAAAGTTTACTTTGGAGGGAGATGTTCGCCAAAACAGGTGAGTGTGGGAGGGTGAATCAGCGGATCGCCCACGGGACTTATGTAACCTGGACCCGGGACTCATAGGCAGGGTAAATGACGGCGAAGAGGTTGCTGACGCTTACATGGAAATCCTTGAACGATTCAGAATTTAATCATGGCTGTTAGCTTGTTAACATTATTTAACTTGTAAATTATGTTTTATTTAACGTGTTAACAGTGTTATTTTTATGGCCGGTACATAAATTAGTCTAGAAATCTTGTCACAATGGTTAGAAGTATTACATTTGTTTTTGAAGGTTTACATAAAGTCTCATCTACAATTAAAATTATACAAAACATGTCTATTAACTGTACCTATTTGAAACGATGGAACAAACTATATATCTCGAGCTTTCGGTAACACGAGTATCGTTCAAATTAGTTTGACGTAATGTTGTCAGACTCTAAAGGTAGGTACTATTATAATATGTATCCGAAACATGTTGTATTAGGATAATTATTGATTTTAACTCATAGTAAAAACGTCTAGCCAATCATAAATGTAAACCTTTTACACAATTGGAATATAGTCCAAACGTAGTCCAGAACTATTTAACTGAGCGCAATATACAATCGAAGAATAATATCAAAGTGCTTTGTCATCATACTGGTACAAATGCAACATTTGATTGGCTTAAATAAGCATCACTTGCTCATTTATACCAGGGGTGAGTTTAAGGACGCACGGTTAACTCGTAGGGATGATAGAATATTACTAGAGCCGGCTATGATAATGTAAAACGCCATATTTCTATAGCTTCAGTCTACTATGGATCTTGTTTTTCATCCACGTTTTTTAGGTTACTGTGACACCAGTATCTCTAACCCACCAAACCAACAATCAAATCCCAAACGGATAGTCGCACTAGTTGCAACACTATGACGTCAGTGATTGTTGAACAGCTGATAACGACGATAGAGGTAATGATAGGGTATAGTTGATCATTGGTGGGGGGGGGGGGAGCTCAGGGATCAGCATAATAAAGGCGAGGCTTTGAAGCAACGTTCCCGAGCACAGCTGATTGAAGGTTTGCAAGCCTGAATCAAGATATAGTTGACGCGCTGACGTTTCATTCATTATACAATCTGACGTCATTGCGAAACAAGTGTTGAATGCATAGTTTGATAGTTGTATGTGTTGCTGGGTCACTGGAGAAGGTATCCGATTAAGATATCAAAATGTTGGGTAGATTTATGTTGAAAGAGAAAACTGGGCTTTTGTTTATTTGACTTTTATTTAATAACTCCGATCGTGCTATGATGAGTTTGTGGCTTTTAACTCTGAAACGCATGCGAAAGTTGGTGGCTTTGTCCAAATCATCGAATTGTATTAATCTTTGCCTCAAGTCGTCCAATGATTGGACACATTTATAAACCACACAATAAAATCATTAACTACTTGTAAAAGGAATAGTATCCTATTTTAGATGAGGTATCTCCCACTTAAAAAAATATTATTACGTTTTCCATTTTATTATTTTTTTATTATTCCTATCTAACCGTCAACACAATTAATTGTTAAAAAAACGTATTTGTTTACCAAAATGGGTTAATTCTTTACTATTTCTAAATAAATACCAAAATACAATCACCAAAAATAACCCGTAATCGGCAAGTAAATAAAAGATATTAACTAGAAAATAGGTAGGCTAAGTAAACTTTCCAGCGTATGACGATGTTCTGTAGTAAATCCATTTATAATGCCTTCATTCCAAGCAATGCAATGTGAATGCTGTACTCATTTTGCCTATCTTACGCCTAAACCCGTTAAAATATAATTACACTATCCCCCACTTGCATCTCAGCCTTTAATCGTATTATTTATTAAATCTTCAATACTTATTTGAAAATGTCTAAAGCACATACTGTAGCTACATAGCTACTATGAAAATACATTTTAAAATTTGCATTTAATATGAACATATTTATCCTGTTTCAGCCCCAAAACCTGGTGATGATGGGAGATTTTCCCGACTGTGATGTGAAGGTTTGTGATTTTGAGATATCCAGAGTCATCGTGGAAGGCACAGAAATCAGAGAGATACTTGGAACACCGGAGTATGTTGGTAAGAGAATAAAATTATATAGGTAATTAAAATAATGTTAGTTTTGACCCATTTCGGGGCGAGATCGTGTTTTACATGCGAGTGGATGACGAGCATGGGAAACATAATCGAGCCCCGAAATGGGACTTTCGTGACTAGTATTGAACGATACTTTTTATCACAATGAAAAAAAACTAGGCTACTTCATCAATCTTTAAAAAATTAAAACATAGCTTTTTTATGTCAGGCAAAGTATTGTTTGTGTAGCGAAAGTAATGTTTACTAGTAAACCTGTGCGGCTCAATGCCCCGCAAAATAACATATGAATTTAGAAAACAAATTCATCGTGTTAAAATATATTTACTCGACGTCGAAAATTAAATACAGTAATAATAAAGCCTTAGAAGGGAAGCAGTCCAGCCATTTTCTAGCTGTATGTGTACCTATTGCATTCAGTTAATTAATAAGTGTTCAAGTTCAAGTGTGTTCCTAGTTATTTTTTAAAGATTTTTAAAACACATTTAACAAAACATTTTATCATATCAAACCAATAGGCCTATGAAGCATATTTTGAGGGTCTTACAATGCTGTTTGAAGAATATACTTTTAAAAATAAACACTAAAAAAACAATATTTTTATCACAAAAGCACTTCCACAAATACTACGATTTTAGTCTTAAAGTTGCCTTCAGGAAGATTACCCTGGTCAGAATTTTCCGTAATGAATATGCGTTTCCTATTAAAAGATGTAGCCTTACTTAAAACAACATACAATATAGTTGCTCATGACTGAAATTGATCTGGGTAAGAACAGTTCTGATCTTTAATTAAAGGGCTTGTGCTGCAAATGCCAAAGATAACATGTAAATTAGCATCTTTCCGTTTTAAAAGGTAACTTAAGTTTGTTTCAGACGGGCACATTTTTATCCTCGAAATCAAAATATGTCCCCACTCACTTGTCCCAGTTAAGACTTTACATTCTATTAAGTTGTTAACCATTCTGATCACATGAAGCCTTGTGCCATTAATGAGGCCCTTTTTGATGTATTAATATTCCACATCAATAAAACCACTGCCCCATTTTATTAGTCTAATCTGTGTCTTGGCAATCCACTGACCTCTATATTTAAAAACTCAGTTGGATTTCTAGATGGGTGTCTCCGCCTTCGTCTGTTTTCGAGGACCCACTCTTCTTCCCCTTGGCATACTGACAAATTACCTAACTTGTCAAGTTCATGTACTAATTCATTAATACTGTTAGTTTATAAAGAAAATTAGATAAAAGTTACTTGGCTCGGTGCTTTCATAACTGCAAACTCAAAATACACCCAGAAGTAAAAAAGACTCAAGTTATTGGTTAAAAAAACTATGTTTGTGTAACAACATTATTCTCATGAAGTGATTTTTTTTTATTTGTCAATCAGCTGTTTTGTTTAAAATGATTTAATAATGTCAAAGATTTGTGATTTTAAATACATAAATTATTAATTTTATTTTATTTATTAGTTATAGTTTTCTAAATCATGGTAACTTATTCTCAACTAAATTTGACTATTCCCAGCATTAAAATAAAGTAGGGCCTATTAAGATCCATTATGGGTAAACTTTTAAGGTACACAATCCTTGATTGAAATGTAGTATACATTAACAGTCATAACACACAGCAATTATTATGTAGTAGACTTTGACTATTTTCAAGTAACAAACATATGTTTCTGTAAATACAAATCATCTCCCATGTTATCCTTATGGAGAAATATGAAACTTTAAAGGGCCCCAGGGCCTCACTCTCTAATTATTTCCTTAAAAAGAAAGTTTCCTGCACAACTTCACGTTACGCTCTTTCCAATGACACCAAAAACATGACAATCGGTTCAGTAGTTTCGGAGGAGTAATTGTCACAAAAAATCTGCTTGCGTATTAAATAAGTACGAGAGGTCGTCCAGTGGTCGAAACTCGACCATAAATATGTAATGTAAACTTACTCACTTCTCTATTTTCACCCCACACTGTAAATAAAACATGTGATTGGAGTTTCTTCCATTTGTTTTGATTTTATGTTTATATTTCGTTGTTATTTCGTCACCAGCATGGCAACGCATAAGATCCATGTTAATTTTTTCAAATTTTTAAACTCATTTTTTGTGCTTATCTTTGAGCCTATTTAAATTTATAAAGGGATTCTGCACACCTACAGGAAAGTAGCTTTCTAACAGTATGCGTAGATTTACCCCACGATGCACACGAGCTGAGAAAAAAGGTTTTAAAGAAACATGCTTGCCTATTAATATATAGATAGATAGATAGATAATAATAGATGTCAGGAAAAGTCAGCTGATCACTATTTGTTTTTGGTGTAATGGAAATTGACGATTCTCGAAGATCTCAGCTGTATGTAAATGGGAGTGATGAAAAGTACATTTTTTTCATACTAATTAGCGTGTATAATAAAAGTGTACTATTTTTCCATTAGCCTTATCATATTAGCCCTTCCCGGACCGCTATCATTTTTTGTATGTGTATATATGTATATGCGTTTTGTGCATATGTATTTTGGGTCCGTGGACGGTAGGCATATATATCCGCAGATTATTACGACTGATTTTAGCGAATTTCCCATATAGGGAATAAGCTATTACCGTTGTACTCATGGTAAGACCTGGACCCGGGACCGATTTTTTTTTTCGTTTTGAGGTCCCTAGAGGCCAAAAACACCATCCGTTCAAATTCATATATATATATATATTTATATATATGTATATATTTATATATGTGTCCGTTAGCGCGATAACTCGAGCAAAAACGATCCGATTTTGATGAAATTTGGTAGAAACGTGTAAACCTACGTTTATTCGAACGAGTTCGCGAACCAGCATGATCTGACCATGGGAACGGGGGTTTATGGGGGGTTTTATGGGGTAAAAATGGGGTTTTCCCACTTTTGACTCAAAAAACATAAAATTTTGCAATTTCTTTCCAAACTATTTTGTAGAGCTTAAAAAAACAAATAATTTAGTATATTGAAGCGTTATAATGCACCTAATGGTTACGGAGAAAATTTCAAAAAGTTGTAAATTTAAAATTCCCATGTTATTCTTATGAAGAATAAGTAAACTGTTGTAGTTTGCTTGTTTATTAACATTTTTTGCCCAAATTTGGAAAATGTTTTTATTTCTTACTAACTATTAACATTTTACATAAAAAACACTTTTACCCTCCCTGTTGCAGCAAGCCTAAGTATGTGTTAAACTGATTCTATTTAAATAGGGAATAAATGTGATATTTTTAAGGAGACATTTTAGTGTAAATCCTATCAGGCAAATAGAAATTCGCTTAGTCTGCAGGTTTGCTGCGGCGGGGGTATTTAGTTGATTATATATAACATTATTCTTTGTAAAAACGGTCTTTTAATAAATTATATCAATTTAACCGATGTACTAGGAATGTTTTTCTGTAAGAATAAAAAAGTTAACATAAAGTTCTATTTTATTTCAAAATTAAAAGAAAATTTCAAAATATTTTGAACAAAAGTGCTGCATATTTAAACTATTTGCAGCATTCTCTAAAATACAGATGTAAAAAAGATATATTTATTTTTTATTTTTTATTAACTTTGCTGTCTGTATAAATATTATAGGCCTTCCGGGAAGGGTTAGAATATAGTAGAACCTCTCTAATCCAAACTAATTGGGACCAGTTCGGACTATTGAATAGTTCGGATTACAGGACATATTGCTGGTTTTACATAACAATAGCTAAAACGAGGCTAAAATGGATAGTAAATTGTTACGGGAAAAGTAAAAAAATGCTTTTTAAAGTAAAATACAGTGTTTATTTAATACAGTAGTAAACATAGTGAATAAACAGTACTCATAGGCTACATTACAATAGAAAAAAATTACGATGTGTATCAATAAATACAGTATACAATAAAGAACTACTGTACTGTGTATAGAGTAAGTTACAGCAAAGAGACATTTGGATAAGTGGACGTTCAGATTACTGGGGTTCGGATTAAAGGGGTTCTATTGTAGGTGATTGGCGAATTTTTACCAAAACTTTACAGTAAAAGATTATTTTCAATATGCTATTCTACTAGAAACTATTTTTTATCGTGCTCCATTATAAGTAGGTCATACATAAATTTCATATGGTGCATAACACGTCACTTCAATAAGAATCTTCTCTTAGTTTGTTATGATGATTTGTAACTGATAAATAATTACTTTTCAGCTCCTGAAATCCTGCATTACGAGCCTATCACGTTAGCAGCAGACATGTGGTAAGATTTTTATTTCATATGTAGCTAATTATATTAAAACTATTATTAAAAAACTGTGGTTAGTGGTCCCTTAACTTTTATCAGTACAGTTCACCTTTGTACTGTACTGGCTCACCCCCTGCTTTGCTGGATACTTCCACGCACAGATCTGTAGTCTATGTGGACGGGCAAATGCAAGGTTAAAAGAGGCCGCCAACCTCTTAAAAAAAATTGTAGGGCCTACAATACATTTTATCTCCAAACAAATTTATTACATTTTAAGAATATACCTATTAGCAAAAGATATCAAAATTTTTCTTAGTAAATTAATTTGCTTTTAGACCCAAAGTTAATGACTCACTCTGTAAGAGTCTAGTATTTCAAAATGCACCTGAATTAATTAACAAAAACATTGGAACAAACAACATGTGTATACTACTGTATTACATTTCTAATAGTTAAGGTTTTTTTAACCTATGATCTGGATAAAAAAAAAATATATATACTTCAGCATATCTATAAGCTTAGTAAAGCTTAAACTTGTCAGATTTCTCAATGCTTTTTGATCATTATAGTACAAACGTCCAACAGAGATTCATCCTTAAAGACATCTGATGAAAATAAAAGGTACATTTCCATATTTAAGCCCTTCTTGTTATTTTTCAATGGGACACGAACCTCAAGTTTTTTTCATGAATGGAGAAAGTCTAGCGCAGATGTTCCCATAGGCTCCCAATTCCAAGATTCCCAATTTCCAGATAGTCCCAATTGCATATCTCAAAAAGAGTTTGTGACTTGTAAAAAAGTCCTTGATGGAAGGCAATATTATGAAACCATTCTACTGGATGTAAAACATTTGCATGCTTTTAAATCAATGCATTTATTGAAAAACTAATGGATAAAAAAAATAATATTACAAGTAGCTTTAATACTTGTAATTTCAATAATTCAATAATTGTATTTGACATTTATTAATCTGCTGGTCCCTTAGGAAGGAGCTTTAAGGTCTACCGTAATCAAAACATCTTTTTGTACCACTTTTTTTTTCTTTTTAAATATTCTCCAAGCTAATTTTATTTCCAGGTCTCTGGGAGTGACAACATACGTCCTCCTCACTGGGTTTTCCCCGTTTGGTGGAGAGACTGACCAAGAGACATTCCTAAACATCTCACAGGCTGCTCTTGACTTTCCAGACGAGCTGTTTGAGGACATCTCTGATGATGCTAAGGACTTCATCCGGCGACTTCTTGTCAGAGACCCAAAGTATGTCAAAAATAAGTTAAAGAATATGTTTTAAATTTGGTGTACAAAATATTGCATGCAATTTCATAAAACTCCAATTTATTGTTGTAGACTACTGACATTTACACAGCAATTAAATTAATGTCTTCCATCAATCTAAATTTAAATGGGTCTGCCGTTGGAACGTATGAATGAGTAAATCAAAACTTTCTGCATGACCTATACAGTTTAGATACTTAGAAGTTGGCTTTTATATAAAATATGGATGCCAACGCCAACTAATATCCTTAACCAAATTGTATCAAGCTCTTGTGCTATTCAAATCGTATTTCACTAAAATAATTTAGTATTATTATTTTTTACCGTATTAGATTTTATGATATTCGAAAATCCAGAATCGGTATTGTTTCTCAGTGTTTCCCCCCAAATAAAATAGCCTTTTCATGTAATATATCATTAAGAACTTTAAGCTTTTTGTCAACTTGACTAATTTTCTGAATTTGTTTCAGACACAGAATGACAGCAAGGGAGTGCCTAAGACATCGTTGGCTGGCATCAAACCGCAAGACCAGCACCTGCAAGAACTCTCCAAGGACAGAGACAATCGTCAACCCTCCAGACCCATCTCGTAGAGTAGGTTGTTCATCATGTCCACCTTCCACCAACCAGAAGAACCTTCGCAAGTACTTGTCAAAGTCCAGAGAAGCACTGTTTGAAAAAGTCATCTCCCGCTCCAAAGACCTTCCTCAGGAGAATTTAAGAAAGTCCACGCTGATGTCTCGTACTCGTCGGATGTGCGAGAGTCAAATGTCTTTAGTGTCCAAGTCTCGAGAGCGCCTAATCTCAGATCAACAGTCAATGATGACACCAGGGCTTCATAAGTCTCGTGAGAAGCTATACGGGCTGAGGAGTCTCTCCAAGTCTCATGAAGTTCTCAATCTCTGCAAAACAGTTGGGGCTCTCAAAACTGATATCAAAGTACCTGAATCTTCTCCGCTCCGTGGAATACTGAAGACTCTGACAAGAGCTACTACAATCTCTACGATGACCGATGACAAAGAAAACATCCGTCACCAAGACAACGGTGCAAACGTTGAAAATAATGAAGATAGTGCACAAGAATCAAAGAAAGATGAGAGTCCTCAGCCATCCACACAATCAGAAGAGCCTTTTGAAATGGATGTGCCCGTTCCACCCGAAGTTCAGCCGTTGCAGTCAGTTCTAAAATTCATTTGTAAAAACAGCATTAATAACGAACCAAAAAATAGCAAGGTGGATGATGAAGTTAACAAAGAAAATGTTTCCGATTCTCTAAAAGACGATAATGTCTTGGAGGGTTCTAAGGAAAATAAAAAGGATGAACAGTCTGTTTACATGAGCAAAAAAGAAAAACACAGACCACCTCCACTATTGACAAAGCAACTATCGTTCATTCATTCTGATGATGATCCTCATTCTCCAGATACAAATCATGACTCTTTATCTCTCACTGAGGGTACAAGCACATCCGGTTCTGAAATTTCCGATGAAGATGCTGGTAGCTTAGAGAGAATAACCAATGACTTGTACTCAGAGGAAGATGAACCAAGATACACTGTCGCCCAACTAATATCTGCTTACAACCTACACCAAGAAATAGTCACCAAGTGTTCTCTAGAGGTAACCATGAATGCTGGGCAGTTGGAAGAGAAAATACCACCACTGATTGAAAAAACACCCAACAAAAAGTTCCCCACTGGTGCAAACGCACTTAGACTCTTCATCCCTAACATAGACATTGCTCTAAGATCTGTTAAAAGAACAGCAAGGAAGAAGCCTACAATGAGGCCTGCGCCAAAGTCCATCAATGAAGTCAATGAGGAAACCAAAAATTCAGAAGTTACTGAAACACAAACTCTCCCTTCAACAAACACTGAAGAAAGTCATGTAGATTCTAAAACCGATACATCCAACAAGACAATAGACACCAAATGTTCAACAAAGCTAACAAAATCACAATTAGATACAGATAAAACTAATTCAAGAGAATCCAAGTACAAACTAGAAAAAAGTAATTCTAAGGAGAAATGTCATGTTGCGGGAGAAACAACAAAGGGCTTTGCCCGGTCTAGTTCCATATCTAGTGAAGCGAGCTTCAAGTCTAGCAGTGCGTCAAGTAATGTAACAACGTCAATGGAAGAGTTGACGTCAAGTGAGAGAAGGCCCAGGAGTAATCGTTCCTCTGGGATAGTCTCCAGTGACGGGGACCAACCAGAGAGCTGGAACAATAAAACTCACAGTAGCTCTACCTCTCACAGTAGCTCCTCAAGAGCTCCAATGGATAGGTTGTCACATGCGACACCGCGGCCAAACAGAAAGTCCTTCTGTAGCCCTCGAGCTCCTACAATCCACACCGACTCAAAGACAAGGAGAAAGTCGAGTCCTATCATGAAACCATTCTACTAGTGGTAATCACCTTTTGGCAACAGATCTATCAGAAGTGATAAAGACACTTTAAAGTTCGGGTTTGCTCTTTCCTTAAGTGTAAATCACTTAAATAAATCATTTCTAGAACTTTTTCTGTTCAATCCACGTCTTTGCTACAAAGATAGTGTTGCTTTTACAAGATTTGTCTAGTAGTGAAAATAATGAAGATTCTTGTACACGTACAGTGCAACATTTTCTTGGTTGTGTAGAAAAGTGAGTGGACTATTGTAAATGATGTTGTTTCTAGTCATGAAGTTAATGAGTAGCCCATGTAAAATATAAGGTTTGAGCTTAGACATATAATGTGAAGCTTAGACATATTTATGTATTTATGTATATTTGAGTGTATTATGTATTTGAAGTGTTTTAGTTTTAAGTTTTTCAGTTGTCAACTTGGCCTCCATACCAAGAAGTTAACCGATACAATCCACACAGAACTTATTTGACAAGCAAAATTCATGAATGTTTTCACATTAACTTATTTGTAAAACTTACAAAATTGTATAGATATTACTAATGATTCACACATTTTAAACTTCAGTTTAGGACTAATTATTTATTTTATTTATTTATTATCTATTTATTTTCAATTGAAACTTTAAAGTAAAGTTTTGATGTGATGCAAGATTTGCTGAGCTTGTACAAAGTGTAAACAAGTTCTGTCTATGTAGAAAGGAAATAAACACTTTTCAGTGAATATGAGATTTATTTAACCACTAATTAGGATCATGCAATTCAAACCAAAAGGTTCTAGAACCGATTGGTTCTATATAGACACATTCTGATTCTATTATTGTTATGAGAAACAATATCCATATATTCAGTCTTTTATGTTATGAGCAGATTTTTTGTACTATAAATATCTTTCTTTGTTTCTCACAATATATAAGGTAAATTTATAAACTTTATTTAGTAGTATAAAAGCAATACAAAACATGCAGATGATAAGCTAATACCTGAGACTGTATTGTATAACAGTAATTCTTAAGCAACGAAAATAATGAGAAGTCCCCCTAAAACAAAACAAACATAGATAGTAAGGTCTATAAACTTGTTTCTGCAACACTGCTTACTGCACATGATCATTACAAAGGTTGGTTAACATAAGTTTTATCTAAAACGTAGAGAGACGAATAAACTAAACTCCTACTAGCCAGTTAATAAACATACGCTGACCTACTGGTGTAAATCATTTCCATAATACTGTACTAATCCAAGTCTCTTCACACAAACATCGAGTTATCTTCATAGCACAGTAGATTTTCTTCTAGTCAGCTGTAACAGTATAGGTTTTTCGGGCTGAGTGACAAATGACGTTTTGCTGAGAGGCACAGGAATCTGGGTTTGAGCTGTTAGTCCAAACTCAAAATTCATAAGCATGTAAGCAAGTCCAATCTTTGTTTGTAAGAGGCCGAATCTCATGCCTGAAAAAAAAATCAGTATCAGTGATGGAAACATTTTAAAGAGTGGCTTTAATTTGAGTAGCGGTTTTATGCAACGAGCAGTCCAACTTAATACAAACATTTTTGTAGAATAAGTATCCCCTATATTTTCTCTATATACTTCAAAAAATACAGAAATCTTTACTGTGGTTTTAGTTCAACATTTCTCATAAATTAAGCTTTTTATTTGACCATACAGTAGAACCTCTTTAATCCGAACTAATTGGGACCAGGGGTAGTTCGGACTAGTGAATAGTTCGGATTACAGAACATATTGTTCTTTTTACTTAACAATAGCTAAAACATGGCTAAAATTGATCTAAATTATTTTGGGAAAAGTGAAAAAAATGTTTTATAAATTAAAATACAGTGTTTATTTAATACAGTAGTAAAAATGGTGAATAAACAGTACTGTACATTAAATACAGTATACAATAAAGAACTGCAGTACTGTGTATAGAGTACAGCAATGAGGGGTTCGGATTAGTGGATGTTCGGATTACGGGGGTTCGGATTAAAGAGGTTCTACTGTATATATGCAAAATTGAAGTATTATCAAAACAAATTCAAAATATATAGTTAGGTACATAGCCAAAAAACAAACATTCCAAATAGCATGATATGTCAAATTGCATATCATTGTAAAGGTATTGAAATTCCAAGCAACTTAATAATGTCTATTTTATGTGTATATGTTTTAGTTTACGAGTTTTCAACCAAATCCATGTTTTCCCTTAATAAAAGGCATGTTAATTGATGCACATTAGGTGTCACAAGGTCTAAAGAGACAAACTTCACTGCAAACAATGATGACTACAGAGCTTTAAAATTATGTATGATATGTTTGTATTTGACGATTGTTAGATTCAAACTAGTGATCATCCAGTCTGGTACATTCTGTATTCAAAGCTTTTACTTTTGAGTTGTTCTTGTTTAGACTTCTTTAAAGTGAATAATGTGATTTCATCTCCAGGGTTATTTATCACAGAAAACACAGACTAAGTATTTTGGTCGTCATAGATTAAGTAAAAACAAAACACTCGGATTTGAGAAGAAAATATTTGTTTGTTTTAAATTAATTTAATTCACATGTTTCAGTGGATCGAATAACGCAAATAAACATTTAAGTATAAATTACTTGCAAAATGATATAATAGACCGTTTGAAAAAAAAACTATTGGAAAATGAGTGATTTGATTTTTTTATGTAGTTGGTGAAAAGAGCTTTAAAATGACACCTCATTTATGAAAACTTGTGAAGAAATAAGGAAGTTATGGCCTACCGACAAAAAAAGACTTTAGAATGTATAGAGATAATTCAAAACTGGACCCAGTTGTCTTTGATAATTGGATAGATGATCCTGGCTAAAGAACTAGCTTTCTGTTATCAAATCAGTAACAAAGCTATTACTCACTCTTTCAACATTCACCGTTCTCTTATCTTTGCTTTAAAGTAGGCACCCTCGAGTGCCTTAATTCAAATTCTGGGTACAATTTTTAAATGGGAACGGAACGCACTCCTCGCATCAACTTTTATATTTCTCTTGAAGTGTCAAAATGTACTAACCAATGCAGACCCGAGGGCCTTCGCCGAAGGGTAGGTGAACATAGGGATGTCTCTCTCTCACTCTCTCAGGGCTGAACCTCTCAGGGTCAAACTTGAATGGGTCTGGGTAGAACTGAGGGTCATGGTGGATTGCAAAGGTTGGTATCACCACATTCGTACCTTCCTCTATCACCAATTCAGAGTCTGGCACCTTGTATTTCTCTGTGCAAACTCGGTTGAGAACGGCAAGGGAGGCGTATCGCCTCAGTGTTTCTGAAAGTATGAGAAAGTAAGTATGTTTGTGAAAGGTATAATTTAACAGGTTTTTAATATTTTTCTTGATTGAGAACCTGAAGTATTTTATTAATTTAAATATGCAATTAATAAGTTTTGGGATGCTATCTTTTGAGAAAATGTACATTATGTCATTAAATGAGGCATCAACTTTGCCAACTTTACCAACACATTGCTTGGTGACAATGATATAATCCCTCATCATCGGTAAAAGACTTGATGTGGTGTTAGTGAAAATTAGATTTAAAGACAAACCAGAACCTCGATGAGTGGCGCAAAGTACCAAAGTACATTGCCTAAGCTATAAAATCAGAAAACAGGTAAATTTTAAGGGAATAACTGGTACATGGTAATTTACAATTAATTATTGGTATTTGGGCTGCTGAAATCTGCATAATTCTAAAGTGTAGAAGTATAATAATCTTTAACCTTATATACAGGTAAAAAAATAAACTACTTTATTTTAGCTCTACTGTGTACGTACAGTTTAATTTAAAAGAACTTTTTTTTAATAAAGAATATTGATAATGTTAAAAATAATTACCATTAATGACTTTATCCATATATGGCATCTCTTGTAGCGCCTGATAGGTAGGTTTGCCATCGTAATTCGACAAAGTCTCTTTGATTTCCTCATAGAGTCGGTCTTGAATATCAGGGTTCTGAGCAAGCTCGTAGAGACAGAATGACATTGTTGAAGACGCGGTTTCAAACCCAGCGGCAAAAAAGACAAATGACTGAGCTGCGATTTCTTCCACTGTAAAAGCTTGAAAGGCAAGGGAAATGTCAAAACATGTTGTGGGAAAATAATCATGATCAAAGTTGCTGTGAATATTTTACAAAGAATATATATTAGCTGGAGAGTACTGAGTATAAACTGTAGTCTGTCTTTTGATAAGAGCAATAAATAAGAAACATAACAAAATTTAACTACAATTTTTCTTTAACAGTCACCTTATTTTACTGATAGTGGAAAAACCATTGGTGAATGTTTTCATACTTTTGTTCTTAACCAATGTTCCTAAGATAGTTGTGTCATTTACTAAATATTTCTTAATAAGTTTGAAGAGAAAATTTATATGACATTAACATATAATGGTTTCATGATTGGAATTTAAAATTAATGTAAGCCAAACAGGCTTTAACTGACACAGGCATGGGCGTCCATCCGTAAGGGCAAGAGGGTGCTCGAACCCCCCCCCCCCCTTTGAGACCCTACCAGGGTGACCATACAGACTGAGAATTGCAGGATGTTTGCTTACATTTATTGAATCAGGAACTATGCGGGAATTTTAAACTCGTACTGGTTTAGTACCTGTTTTTGAACCTGTTTTAGTCTGCGGTCACGTTGAAATTATAATCGTCAGCCGTTGACACGGTGAAATCATAAACACCTTCCGAGGTCGCAGCAAAATCAAAAGCACCTTCCGTGGTCACTGTAATCTTGAGAACATCTTCCGCGGTCACGGTCACTGATAGATCGAGAATATATTCCGCAGTCACAGCAAAATCATGAACATAATCCACGATCTCAGCGTAACCATAAACATCTTCTGTGGTCATGAGAACATCATTAGTATTATTAACAAAATCATGAGCATCTTTCGAGGTAAAAAATCTTGGACATCTTCCGCGGTCTCAGGACATGATAGTGGGAGCACTATAACGGTAAAATCGTCAATTTTCAATTGTTCATCACCATAAATGCTCTCCACGGTTATTTAAATTTGCAAATATGGCTCAACTCGATCCAAGGTTGGCCCGATAATAATTTTTTGCCTGTGCGGATCCCTTGGGAGTTCCTGGACCCGCAGACCCCTATTAATTAGTGAATTTTGTCTAGGAGTTCTGCCCAAAACAACCGATTTTCTTTAAGATTGTGGAGTAAAATATAACAGTTAAACGAGTTCCATTGTGCCAGTGGCCATAGTAGTAAGCAATCAAATTTTAAAACAAAGCAGCAATATATAAATGGACATAAGCAAATTTAGTTTTAAAAATGTGTAAAAGCAAATATTTTAGATCTAAATTTTGTCTTTTTTTCAAGTACTGTACTCCTAAGACCACCCTTTTTACTGAGGTTAATTCCGTACCTCAACCCCTGGCCCTCCCTAGAGTAAAGTCAGATGGACGCCCATGTAAATATCTGCTAATTTTTTATCTTAGAATCTTAGGGTTGAATATCTTACCTGTGTTTCCCTTAGCCTTGTTTTCACTGTTTCCATTGACCTCTTCTTTTTCAGAATTTTTATTTTGACCTACTTGAATCAAAAGGTTAAGAAAGTCGTTTCTGGTGACATTATTTTTCTCCCTGTATTCAAGAGTATCCCTCACAACCCTAGTGAAAAATTCTGTTAGGTCTTTTGAAACCAGACGAATAGAAGATAGTTTCATAATAGTTGGAAACACTGCAAATAAAATTCGCCTGATTTGTCTGGCAAAAGATAAATGGAAGATTTTCACACCATAGTGGTAAAACTCAGAGTCTCTGTCTTCCAAGGAGTTGCTCTCCAAACCAAAAGCACAAGTAGCAATAGTGTCCAAGGTGAACCTAGCAAGAACATCTTTGACATCAATCACAGAATTTTTATCAGTTTGTTCATTCACGTGGTTGATCAGTTGTTCCACACATTGTTCGATCAATAGAAACATAGTTTTTATTTTTCCTGATGTGAATGTCGGGGACAGTTTAACCCTCATGTGTTTCCACTCTTGACCTTCCAAGTTGAACAGATGTTTGGCGAGATAGTCTACCTTGGGGTTAACAGATTTTGATATAGTGAATCGGTTTTGGAAATGATTAAAGTCTTTAGTCAAAATGTGTTTAATTAGCTGTGGATCTCTGACGACGAAGATTGGTCTACGGATTTCATAAACCCCGAAGTATCTTTCACCCTTAAATTTGTTGTAAAAGTCATTGTAGATTTCTCCCAGTTGCTTTCTACCCATTAATAGATCCTTAGTGTTGCCAAATGGAAACGAGGGCTCAATAAAAGGAACTCCTTTAGTTTCCCAGTACGTGTAGTTTTTAACGACGGATAGGTAAAATGTTATAAATAAAAGTAGGAGACCCAAAATCACCTCGCAGAAAAATGGAACATCAAGTAACAGGCCCATGTTCTCTGAAACAATAAAACAAAAGGTTTCCTAAAATCCAAAGAGAAGTGAGCCATTAGCCAAAATGAATTACATGACTTTTAATGTATAACAAGGTATCAATTATAATTAAATATTAACAATGAACGTTTAAAAACAACAACATCTTAAAAACACCCCCGAAAACGTGAAATAAGTTATTGGAGAACCCTGAAGCTAAAAGTGAAATAAGAACACAAATTAACAAGTGCATTTTCCGTTACAACAAGAAATTCAACTATTATTAAACCATAATTTGTTTTTCATTCAGTGCAGACTCAAGATGCTTAAAGGGTTAGTATTATGTCCAGTGTATTGTTGAGTGAAGTTTTTGATAAATAAAATTCATATAATAGTATAGATTACTACTTAAACAGTTCTAAGGTATTACATACCTAAAATAAAACATTTTGAATTATTACGGTTTTAAAAATACAGATTTGTTTCCATATTTGTGAAATTTGTGCTTTTTTCACATACAGTAAATCAAATTTTGGAATACCTGCCATTTTGGCTAGAGGTGAGATATCCACCTCGGGTTTGTATCATTGCGTTTCTTTTGACAAATCCCTCAAAATCAGGGGTCACTCAATAGGGGTTGCTATTTGAAAAATAAGTCACCCCCTACCCCCTACCCTGTTAGGGGGGTTAAAAAATATTTTTGATGTAAACAATTTTAAATTATGGAACCTTTGTTAACAGTCAACGTCACAATGAGAAAAGAAAGAATGAATTGTTTATTCCACATCAAATTGTTACAACCTACAAATATTTAAAATTTCAAAAATTAACTAAAAAAAATTTACAAACATAAGTAACACAAGTATATTTAGAGAAAACTATTAATAAAAATCTGACTTAGAGTTGCACGATAAAAAAAACTAACAAGGTGAACAGAAATAACCATTAACTTATAATTTTGTAGTTATAATAGTTGTTAACTAAGCCTGTGGACTCAGCAGACATGGATAAAACTCTACCTGTGCGTCTGCTGGGTTGCTATAAAACGTTTTAGAAAATCTTAAGCAAACTCTTACATAAGGAATGTGCAGCGCAGTAAGATGTATGTGAGTTCTAAACTGAGCTTATGTAACTCATTATCTAAGATACAGAATTTAAACGTCAAAGAGTTGCAAACTTATCTTACAAGATGAAACAAAAGTTGTTGTCTCTCTACTATCTGGCTGGTAGGTAGACTGATGACCTTGAATTTCGCAAACTAATACATCCTGCTAGATGGCAGCTCTGCTCAATGATTGTCAGAATTAACAGAAGGAATACGTAAGCGCAGATGTAAACTATCGTTCTCTTAGTTCATCAATCGTAAGTTTGTTTATGCTACAGAAAGGGACAAGTAAAACTAAGAAATAGACTGATTTGAGACCTAATTGTTATAAAGCCAAACCGATAAATTGTGTAATAAATAGTTCTGAGGTGTCATACCTTATTGGACTTATTGAATGTTGAAAAACCAAGAAATCAACCAAAGTGGTTTGAAATAAGATGAAATGTATTTCTAAAAGTATTAGTTAGTTTTGTTTTTCCTGTCAGGCTAACAAAAATCTGTTTGCAAATTTCCCATTTTCTCATTTTTGACCCTCAAAAGATAGAATTTTGAAATTTTGTTGTATTAATTTTGGCTTTGTTTTGTTTATGATAGGCCTTATAAAAAATAAGGAAACATGTCTAAAACAAACGTTAATCAGTTAAACTGTTGTGTATAATTTTAAAGGAGATGAATTTACAAAAGACGTTTTGTATAGGAGCGATGGATTTACCACCTATCAATAACTGTTGGAAATACACGACGTATATTACCATTACCAATGAATTTGGTTAGTTAATGGACGAGAAGTTAGGATTGTTGTTTAGCTGAGATTTGGTTAATTTGCCCATACAAATAGAAATAACATTGCGTTCACCAGTGACACGGTAAGTAAAAAAAAGTACATCTTTTTGTAAGTGCGGGTGGACTTTCCCATTGCTGCACTCACGTTCACTCATCCCGTTACGCGCAGAATAAGTGTACAACTCGTATTTTAGATAATGAATCTGTTGACCATGTACTGTCACAGTTCTGTTGCATATTTATGATACGGTGAACAATTTAACAAATGAATATACCCCTACTTATTGTACTGCAATAATTGGTCACCAAATTAGTGCATTATGGTCAAATAACATTGAAAAAGTTGTATACAGTAATAGTTTGCCAAACGCCAACAGTTGTGAATATAAATAACATGTAAACACTTACAAAATGGAATGTGCAAGCAGCAGAAGCTCAAGTCAATTATCAACTGAGATGCTGAGTGTCTTAACCCTGCTATATTTATCTTACAAGATAACAATTAAAGTTGCTATCTCACCAGTGTTTGGCCTCCCAATGTCACTAGTCATTGTTATAAACAAACACCTTAAATGATTCAGATGTTTGGTGTTCCAGTTACAATAATGACTTGTAAACATGGAGAACTGTTGATAACATTATCTATATATATAATTCTGTAAGACAAAATTTTTACCAGAAAATTGTGGACGTCTGTTAAGTTGCAGAAAAGTGGGAGGGGTCTTAAATTAAAGGTCTTGACCCCAGGGACTCGGGAAAAATAGCAGAATGCCCATAAAGTTACCAGAAAACGAGATATAACGTAAAATATCCACCATAAGAAATGCATGGGGACTGAAAAACGTCTGCATTCTATCAGCTGTTACTTATTTATTTGCAATGTTTACATTTATTCCGAAAGTCAATGTTGGTAAATAATGTTTCAAAATGAATTGTGTTTAATTTTTTTTTTTTTTCTGTTTTTATAATGAGTGACGTAACTAGACAGGGTAGGGGAAGACCTGCAAGACGTGGAAGAGTGTCCAGGAATTCAACAGACTTAAGAAATGCAAAAGAGAACGTCATGTAGGGTCTAGCTGTGAAAGAAATCCAGAAGCTGTTTTACAACCCGTCTTTAGAAGAACGCTGGAAAATGAGTTGAGTTGTTTCTCACAAACTAGGTCCTCATAAAGCACTTGCATGCCTTGTGGCGCATTTCACTTCGCAGAGGAGGCCACAAATGGACATTTCAAAGCATGTTACCACAATGGACATGCCACAACCACAAGTAAATGACGAATTAACTGTTTTTACATGATTCAAACTTCATAAAAAACATAAGGCAATACAACAGTGCAATGGCTATTGCGTCGCTTTCCGCTACACAAAAAGAGATTCCGGGAAATGGGCCTTACTGTCTTAAAATTCAGGGACAAATTCATAGATATATTTCTGACTTACCACCGCCAAATGGAGAGTTGCCTTCATAATAATTAATAATACGCCCTTAACATCAACGTCGGACAGCTCTTTTTGGTACCTCTGCGTTGGATCCTTTTTCAGCTCTTTGACGTTATTTTCTTTGATGAAATCTTCCGTCTTCTTTAATGAAATCTTCCGTCTTCTTTACATATGTATGTATGTATGTATGAATATGTAAAGAAGACGGAAGATTTCAACAAAGAAAATAACTTCAAAGAGCTGAAAAAGGATCCAACGCAGAGGTACCAAAAAGCTGTCCGACCTCGTGAAGAGATGCACCAGAGTGATTCCCGAAGAATGTCGACAGAAGATGAACATCCTAAATTCTAAAGCGCCCGTGATGAAAGGGATCCCAAAAATACACAAGAAGAATGTACCCATCAGAGCCCTAGTTAACTTTAAATGTGCTCCTACCTACAATGTTTCAAAATTGTTAGCAAGTAAGCTCAGCAATGATTTAGAATTAGAATATGTATACAATGTAAAGAATGGTTATGAATTTGTTGAACGTGTAAAGAACATAGATATAAATTCAAAAAGTAGGCTAGTCTCATTTGATATCGCAAATCTGTACACCAACATACCTGTATCTGAAACTGTAGATCTTGTTAAATGTAGGCTTTTACAGAATAGTTTAGACGATGAATATGTCAATCAGATTGTAAAATTGCTTGTGACTGTTTTGCAACAAAATTATTTTAGATTTAACAATAGATTTTACGAACAAACAGATGGTTTAGCTATGGGAAGTCCACTTTCGGCAATTTTGTCAGAAATATTTTTACAGCATCAGGAAAAAGAAATGTTAAAGAATTTAAGAAAGAATCATGATGTAAAACTGTATGTTAGAAATGTAGACGACATTCTTGTTATCTTCAGACAAGCCCAGGAGCAAGAGCACGAAACGATGATGCAGACACTAAACAGCCACCACCCGAACCTCACCTTTACCAACGAGTTTGAAGAAAACAAAAAGACCAACTTCCTGGACCTCACATTAGAGAGAAAAGACAGCAAGATCGAGTTTGACATCTACAGGAAACCTACGCAAACGGACACTACAATCAACAGCAAGTCTATCCATCCGACAATCCACAAGACCGCAGCCTTTAGATCTATGCTGTACCGTGCCTACAAGATCCCACTTAGCCAAGCCAATAGGAAGAAAGAGCTGGACACCATTAAGAAGATCGCTCAAGTTAATGGATTTCGAACCAAGACGATAGAGGACATCGCAAGGAAGACGAGGAGTAAAATCGATAGGCAGAATACACTACACAGCAGAACAACATTAGAAGAGATGAAAGAGGAAAACACCAGATATATCACATTTAGCTACACGGGGACTACAACACAAAGGACTGCTAACAGATTCAAGAAATACGGAGTTTCAATAGCCCACAGGACTCAGAACACCATGAGTAAAATTCTGCATCCGAAAATAGAAGATTTCAACAAATTCGACGCTTCGGGCATCTATAAAATCAATTGTAACGATTGTGATAACTTCTACATTGGATAGACTGTGAACTTCGTTAACCGCTTCAAAAACCACATATCTGCGTGGAGGAACAACAAACCGGAAAGATCAAATGTCGCACAACACCTGTTACAAAATTGCCACTCACTAGGAAAAATTGAGGATAGTCTAGATATTTTAAAGAATTTTAAGAAAGGATATTATTTTAATGAATGCTTGGGAAGAATTGTATATTTACAAGGAAAAATTTAAAAATAGAAATAAGTTGATCAATGAACAAATACATTTTGATTCCAGTTGTACTTATAAAAATGTATTGGCCGGTGCTTCCGGTAGCCAATAGGATATAAGTAGGGACGCCATTAAGATTCTTGTCATTCGCTTATTGGGTCTGATGATGATTGGAGTGTCCAATCGAAATCGATCACCACTTACCATCTGTTTTGTATATTTACCGTCTTGTGAGTAACAGTATAAGCGTAAAATGTTTTAAGTGTTATAAGACGTTTCTTTTATTTACGTTCCACTAACAAGACTACAATATCGCACCACTCATCTCCATTCATACTTTGCTTAAAATACCTACTTTGTATGGTCGCCATTTCAATGAAAAAGTATTAAAAATTAAAAGTATTAAAATTGAGATGACTGGACATTTTAAGTTTGCACTAAGAACAGTAATGGTGAGCGGTATACAAATTGAATACTCACACAAAGCATAAACTTGTGATGTGTCTGGTCCAAACCATGTTAGTGACTGGAACAGTAAGAGTGGCTGATAAGAACAAGAACAACAGTGTCTGCCTACCCCTTTTACAGCTGGATACCAGCTGTCTTTAGTTCAATGCCAAAAACCTTACAATAATGGCAATCATTATGCTAGGAGCAGCGGGAAACAGACACACTAAGGCCTACCGCACACGAGAGACTTTTTGTCGGCCGACTATTTAGTCGTAGTCGGGAGTCAAAGTCGGCCCCATAGTGGTAAATCTAAGCGCGCACACGGGCCGACCGCAGCAAGACAGTCGGCAGACTGTCTGCAGACAGTCGGGGCAGTTTGGTGCTGACCGATTTTCCCGCCGACTGCTCCCCGACTCAACTGTCGTGTCTTATTGATAAAGGCACGGAGATAAGTTTGAACGCGCACAGTGACGACTAAAAAGTCTGTCTGTCTGACAGTCGAGTGCGTTGTTATCATGTGTATTATTATTGTTATTATGATAAGTATTATTATTTGTGTGTTATTGTTATTATTATGGCTTCGACAACCACCAGTGCATGTGTTTTGAGGGACGAGAAAGTTGATAAACTTATCGATGAAGTTGAGGCACGGACCCCTCTTTATAAAAAGACTTTGAAAGAGTATTTGGCATAGTAAAAAAATACCCCCGCTGCAGCAAACCTGCAGACTAAGTGAATTCCCATTTGCCTGATTTATTTTTTTATTTAATCTATTTCAATAAAATTAGAATAAACGAGTACCTAGGTTTGCTGCTACAGGGAGGGTATTCAGGGTGTGTTTTAGTAAAACATTAATAGCTGAGTATAAAATAAATAGATTTGCCAAGTTTTATCAAAATACATCCACAAACAAGCAAACTACAACAGTTTACTTGTTCTACATATAAATGACATGACAATTTTAACTTTAAATATTTTGGAATTTTCCTGTAACCATTATGATAACAATTAGCATGCTAAATTATTTGTTTTTCAAGCTCTGCAAAATGTTTTCTAAATAAATTGCGGAATCATTTGTTTTTCTCGTAAAAAAAATGGGAAACCCCCATTTTTACCCGATAAAACCCCCGTTCCCATAGTCATGCTGGTTTGCGAACTCATTCGAATAAAATACATGTAGATTTACACGTTTGTACCAAATTTCATCAAAATCGGATAATTTTGTTCGAGTTATCTTGCTAACGGACATATATATATATATATGAGTGTGTGTGAATTTGAACGGATATAGTGTTTTTGGCCTCTGGGGACATCAAATTTCAAAACTAAAAGTTAAATCGGTCCCGGGACCAGGTCTCACCATGAGACCTACGGTTACAGTTTATTCCCTAAAAGTTATGGGATGAGGTATTTGAAGCCGGGGTATTAACAATTGGTAAAAGAAATCAACTCTCATTTATGAGTAAATGAAAAATTTGTCCGGATACTTCCTCAAATCCGAGTATGTAGGTATCTGGCCTTTCAAGGTTCTCGGACTATAAATTGGATGCACCCAGTATTTTCTCTTAAGTTTTCTTGCACGAAATCTTGTCAGTAACGCACATATGACAGCAGTTTCTGTCATATACCTCCTTTTGACACTCGAAAGACGACTAAACAGTCTTGTCGTGTGCGCACCCATAGTCAACGACCAAACAGTCTTGACGACTTTTCGATTGTCCACCCGACTCCAGCCAGACAGATGGCCAACAGTCGGCCGACAAAAAGTCTCTTGTGTGCGGTAGGCCTAACACAGGGTTCCAATCAACTTCATTGAGTCATGCCTCATTTTTGAATTTCACTTGTGTCTAAACCAGAAGTTTGAATTTTTTTTACAAAATAAAAATAACTATATTCCATCTGGGATCTTTAATGAAGATTCTACAGCTATCAACAAAAGATTAACCCTCAGAATGTTATGTGTCGAAATTTCGACTCACAAACACTGTTTACGGCGAATGCTCTATGACTGACAAAATCGGATTGAACAGGATCGAGTTAGGTATCGTTTTATTTGGCAGATTCTAAGCTTTCTCCCGAGGTCTATCTCTAAGCGCTTTTTTCTCTCGAGCCGATCTTAATTGTAGCAGACAGCTGACGTGCGTATTTGTAAACAGCTTGGTTAACCTCGCACTGATGACTGATGTGTTTTATTACGTTTATCATTGTTTTAGTGTTAAAAATCAAAAGTAGTGATATACGTGGTGCATTATAACAAGATTTAAGTGATTTTGAAGGGCTGGTTGATGATCCTGAAGAAGTAGGTAGTGATATTTATGTAAATTGTCAGCCAGATTCCTAGCTATGGTTAGGCTATTCATTCTTAGCTAAACGCTATGTACCGAAATCTGTTTTTTGCCCATAACTTATTTATTTGCAAATCAACTTCCTTATATTATTATATTTTTGGAATCCTCATAAAATTTAGAACAAAGTGGCTATTTTCAAATATTTATAGGCCTATAATTTATACAATTTCATTGAGCGCGAACTTACTTTTTTTTCCAAATTTTCCAAAATTTTTTTTTACCTAAAAATTTTTTTGAAACAAATGTTTCTTATGTTTTATGTATAATATTGAAGCCCATGATTTTCCAAACAAAATGGTATATAGAACAGTATAATTAACATTGTTTTTAAGCTTCTAAGATCCGTTTTAATAAAACCTTGCAAATGCGCAAAAAATAGGCAGACATTAAGGCCAAAACTAGGGACACTCGGAGGGTTAAGCCCTCCTTTGTGTTACAAAAGAAACATACAGAAATATTTTCACTTTCATGTTACTTGGTACTTAAAGCTTTTTTGTAATGGGAAGACCTTTTTTCTTTGTTTTTAATAACTATATTTTAATTTTAAATTAAATTATTTTTAGAGGTATATGGGACTTCACTAGCTTGCCAAGTTCCAATTCTGTCTCACCAATTTCTAGTTCCCATGTACACAAATACATATAACCAGTACTAACTGAAAATATGTAACGTTGCGTTATAAATCCTTTTTTATGGTGGAAATGTATTTTAAAATCACAAGTTGAGCATTGATGACGAACAAATACAACTGTCCCGACCAATTTGCAAGATTTATGCACCCAAATATTAATATCCACTTCCTCTATTAGGTGCTGTTCAGGCGTAAATTAAATAGCAACCATTGTTGTTGTATATGTTTTATTTTACGTGAGGAGAAGTTAGTGTTTAAATATTATACAGAAATATAGTTTTAATGTACAATAAATCTATAAAACAAAACAGTCAAACAGATAAAATTAAAACCAATTACAATTTGTACAAGTATAACATTACATTACAATATAAAATAGTGTTGTTCACTTTTTACATGGACGAAGTCAGTTGAGTTAGTCTCTGTTAGACGGTTGTAGTCTTCAGCAAAGCCAGTTTAGCTTTCACCTCTCTAAACGTCGGTCTCTTGTCTGGCAGCAGATCCCAAGCCTGAAAATAATACATCAACAATAAAATCACATGTTTTACATCAGTTATCTAGTTGTCTCAGGAATAATACAGTCTAGAGCTTGGTTTCAGATGGGAAGGTTGCTGGTTGTCCCCCTTAGATTCACTCATGTTATCAAATAGGACCAGATACAAAGTTCCATATCAGTTTCAATGCATGAAACAGCAACTAAGGTTGTTATCAATGTAACAGGCTGCAATGAAATCACAGTAAAAGAGTGTAAATGCATGAAATATGCTGTACCGAAACTAAATTACATTAAATTAGAATTACGTTCAAACATACAAGCACACCGGCTACACTGTGTCCACACACTCTTACCATGCCTTGTGCCTTGTTATCTGTGGTTGGCTGTTAAGCCTCCTCTGTCGTTAGATTTGAGTTGTCAATTCAATGTTACCAGCCGATTTCACAGAGGGTATGCCAAAGTTTGATCAAACAATGTGAGTTTAAGCAAGAAATATGATAGTCAGTGGGAGTGTCAGTTCAGTTCCTTAAATTATCTGTATTGAGAATGTTTACTGTAAAATTAACGGCAGGCTTTATGGAGGCAAACACAGGTAGATTTAAATTTCCAGAACAATGTGAGTTTAAGCAAGAAATATGATAGTCAGAGCAGTGAGAGTGTCAGTTCAGTTCCTTAAATTATCTGTATTGAGAATAATTACTGTAAAATTAACTTTACAAGCTACAGCTTTACAAGCTTTCAGGGGCTTTATGAAGAGAAACACAGGTGGATTTCAATTTCCAGAACAAATCATCAACTCCCACGGTCATGGAAACGTCATCATTGTTTTTATTTATTTCTCGCAAACAAAGTTTCAACTTATAACAGAAACTGAAAGAATCTCATTATATATATTCGACCCACCTGTCTCATGATCTCATACACTTCTGGTGGACATCCTTCAGGTGCCTCCATCTTGTAACCCTTCTCAACATGTTTCACAACGTCAGCCAAGGGCTGCAACAATCACATGGCACACTTAGCATACACAGAAAAAGCAAACATAATTACAATGTGTCACAGAAAACAAATAAAAATTATCTACCTCACTTGGGCAGTCTCAAATGTAAGGATGATTCATTTGCTTGAAATTTTAATTCGTAAATAAATGCCTAAATGTTAATCTTATCTTCACAAAATTGTATTTTGTTTTTAAATATGAAGACTAATAAGAAGCCTACTGGATTACCCAGCATTTCCAAACAAAGCAGAGCAATATGGGTCAAGCAATTCAAGCAGTTAAAAACAACTATCACATTATTATACTGTTTGTCTTGTTCAATAATAATCTTTGACATTTATTTAAGGTTATCTACAAAGCCGCTGACAGTCAGTTTTTTTTTTAATTTCTATTTTATTTACATTAGAAGGAGTTATTAGTTTACTTTTCTTACTAATATTTAAAAAAAAAACTTACTATTCTTGGATAAGGCACACGACCGAAGGAATATATCTCCCACAGTAGGATTCCAAAACTCCACATATCTGACTTATTTGAGAATTTCTGAAACAAAATCAAAACATTTTTATTAAGTTTAAAAGCCAATTTTCAAGAATAGCTAGTAAAAATAAAATAGACCTAATGAAATGAAATAAAATACTTTTTTACACAAAATAAACTATCCTATTTGGGGTTTGAATTAGTGATGTGTCGATACCAAAATTTATCGATTCTCGATACCGATGCCTGAAAAATCTATTCTCAATTCTAAATAACGATAAAATTTTTTTTGTTTTACAAAATTTCCCAATTTAGTTATACTACACCGACCCCTGTCTTTATGTCCTTCCTTAAAGTATTTTTAAGTAGTACGGCAATGGAGTGATTTTCAAGTAAAGAAAAAAATTATTTTTTTCAAATGAAATACCTTATCAAACCTATCAACCTTATCAAATTTAAATGAAAATCTAACAACAAAACCAAAAAGAAAATTTTATAACAATTGGAAGTGTGCCAGCCTGATATTTTCAGTAAAGCCAAACTCAAGTATTATATATCAAGTATAATATTGTGATCATCAGCCGCGATCATGGAGACATATCATCGTCGTCTTCTGGGATCACTGCAAAATCCTGAATATCTTCCTCAGGTACTGAAACATCACTGTCTTTGGCGGTTGCAGCAAAATCATGAACATCTCCTGCAGTCGTGTATCATCATCGACTCCTGTAGTCGTGTGGACATCATCATCGACTCCTGTAGTCGTGTGGACATCATCATCGTCTTCCGCAATCGAGGCTAAATTCTGATCATCTACCGCGCCCATGTGGACATCAACATCACCTCTCGTGGTAACAGAAACGTCCTCGTTGTTTTGCATGATCGCATCAAAAAAATTAAAAACATCTCCCGCAGTCATTCAGACTTATAGTTCTCTACTATTGTAGCAAAATCCTGAATACCCCTCGCGGTGTCGGAAACTTTATTTTCATCTTCCACGATCATGGCGAAATCATGAACATCTCCCGCGGCTGTGTAAACATCATCATCGCCTCCCACGGTCATGGAAACGTCATCGTCGTTTTTCTCGATTGCGACAAAATCATAAACATCTCCCATGGTAGTGACAAATTCATATTTTTCGGCCAAGTAGTTATTATAATCGTCTTTCCTGATCGTGGCAAAATCATGAACATCTCCTGTGGCCGTGTGGACATCATCATGGACTCCCGCGGTCACAGTCACGTCAGAATCACGAACATCTCCCTCGGCAGTGTAGACATCATCATTGACTTAACCGTAACCTCAGATGTTCATGATTAATCCATGACTGCAGACTAAAATCAGGTTTCTGCAGTGAAATTTCAGGATCCCAACGTTGTCTCCCATTTTTCCCAGGACAAAAATTCAGTATTCACCTTTATAATTTTCGGTCTGCGGCCACTCTGAATGTTTATAATGGTATTTTATTTTATATTATTTTCTGTGTTTTATAACCTTATTGCTTAAGTGTAACCTTGTCATGCCTAGTTTAGGTCCGATAATCGAGACTCTACTCTCACTCGAGACAATAACTACACTCACCCCCTGTTTGAGGGCCTCTGGTGCCGTCCACTTGATGGGCAGCTTGCCACAGTCCAGGTTGTAGTTCTCCTCTCTCGCCAGTCCAAAGTCTGCCACCTTGGCCACCCCGGACTCTGAGATGAGGACGTTACGAGCCGCAAGGTCTCTGTGAACCACCTTCCTCAACTCCAAGTACTCCATCCCACTACATGTATCTCTGTGGATGGTTACAACTCAGATTGGTATCTCACAAAGAATATCATATTTATCAATTAATCTTGGAAAATATTAGGATGGAATTGTTAGGAAAATGTTGTTAGTTTATTATTTATTTGAATCTCTAAACAGCATTCATTAACACCAGTTTGAGTCAAGTTGTTCACTTCAAACCACACCCACCAAACCTTGTTTTAAGAAAAAAATAGTAAATAGGTTATCTGAAATGGCCTCCACCAAGATTTTGGTGGGTCAGGGTTGTACTCCTTTTACATCCCAAATAGGGATATAAATTAAAATCAACAGGAAGACAGTTTCTTGGTTGAGTCCAAATTAAATTCCTCTGAACCCCATCTGAAGCTACAAGTACAAGTGACTCTAAACTCATTCATGACTACAGTAGGACTCACACAGCAAAGCAGATCTGGTCTCTCTTGGTAACGTGGTGGCGGCCCCGTGATCTGAGGTAGTCCACGAGGCTGCCCTTGCTCATATACTCTGTGACCAGAGAGATGTGCTTGTCTTTGAACACCAGCCCCAGCAGTTGTACCAGGTTCTCGTGTCTCAGTGACCTGTGTAAAAACATGGGTGAACAGGGGCGATATGATTTATTACTATGATTTTGTGTCCCTCTTTAGTATTAAAGGTATTGTAAAGTTTTTTTTTTTAATTCTTTAATATTTAAAAATAATTTGAGGTTGATGCTCTGTTAACTATTGAGTGAAGCAAGTTGTTTGGGCTACTGATTAATGAAAACTAGATAAATTTACGTTGTCACTGAGAGCATTTGAGATAAATGTTTCAGCTTCTAAGAGATATTTTCAGGACTATTCTACATCTCTCTCCCCAAACAATCTTCTCTTATTTTAAAATGCTGCCAGTGGCAGTGAAATAGTCAAGTTTTTTGGTGCAGTCTAGTTTATTATGTTGCTTAATTCTTTTTTAAGAGGTTGGCGGCCTCTTTTAACCTTGCATTTGCCCGTCCACATAGACTAAGCGCCCGTGCGTGGATCGTTAACAGCAAAGCAAGGAGTGAGCTCGTACAGTAGAAAGGTGAACTGTACTGATAAATTTTAGTGGCAGGTACCAGGATCCGAACCCATGACATCGCTGCCTTGGGCCCGAAGTCCGCGACGCTACCGACTGAGCCACCGACTCACCAAAGTGCACCTATATTGTAAAAATGGGATATTTCTCTTAGGGCAAGCTCAATCTTTGCATTAGTGTTATTCCTACGCTTATACGACCTAACCATATTTATTTTCCTCAATTTAAGGAAAAGTACAACTTACGTCATCAGCGAGGCTTCTGTAAGGAACTTCTGTGCGGCTTCACTTGAATCTTTGAGCATCTTGACAGCGACTTTCTCCCCTCTGAGGATACCGAGCATCACATCGCCAAACTCTCCCTTCCCTATTGACTCTTTCAGCTGCGGAGCATAAGAACTGGTTAAGTTGTGTACAAGATGATACTTCAATAACGAACCTATATTACTGAAACATTATCAAAATAGTTTTCAATATTATCGAAGAAAATTTTTTTGAGAGTAATCCAATGTGTAGTTATACTCAGCTGTTTAAATGTTGTCACATTTAGTCAACAGGCTCCAGCTCGACCAGATGAGTTCTAATTCCAGATACGCAATGAATGAAAACAAAGTGATTTAAAATTAATTAAGAAGAAAGTTTGTTACGTCATTCATTAAACCATTTTCAAATGTTGAGAAATTCAAAGCTCAATCCAGTTTTTCATGGTTGACAAAATTCACAGCTCATTCAAGGTTTTAATGTTATTAAGATAGAGACTGTAATCTCATTAGCCTACTAAAATCCTACATAATAGAGGCAGAAAAACACCTAAACTAAACTTAATGAAAAGTAAGAAAAGTTATTGATCACTTTTAACTGCTTACATTACAATAATCTGTTCATTAAACATATACTACTTACTTCTAGTTCATATTCCTGAATCACCCATCCAGCTTCTATGAACTTTTTTGTGTCTACACAAAACTCTTGTTTACCTTTTTTAGGTAAACTTTTTGTGAGCTGCGTACAAAGACCATCTGCGTCTTGCTCGTAATGCTGGAATCAAAATGTCACGTCTTATTACAAACATAATTTAATAAATTTTATTAAAATAAAATTCAATAGGGTACATTGAAACTTACTCTGAATCCCAATATCCCCACATGGTTGAATGTACTATCATTGAGTTTGATTCATTGAGTTCTCAAATCAAATAACAGTGGTACAGTAATGACAATACAGGCACTAGCCAGAAGCTACACTTTCCAATCATGGCGAATCAAATTATTAGTCAATACATTTGATTTGATTGAACGAGAAACACAGTTAGCTGAAATTGCTGCGGATTTTCAACTGTGGAATTTCATCATTGTACAGATAAAAATTCAGTTGGATTCATTGTGTCTAGCCAAACTATTAACATTGTGACATTATATTTTATTTTCAGTGCAGTCTTTAAACTGAGTTAACATAGGTTTTTTAAATTTATAAGACTACTACAGAGCTAACAATTATCCTAAAGTTTTCAGTTTTATTAACAATCACCTCCACTAATTGTGACAAGTTTTCAAAAAACTCCTCGTCGTCTATGGTTAACTGGTTGTCTTTGTACTTTACTCTGTAGTGTTCCACCTGAAATCAAGTAAACAGATTGTATAAAAAATCATGATAAAATATACTTTCATTAACTAAAACTGTTGCCGGCCAGTCAACATTTTAACACTGACTTTTTGATGTAACAAATCAAACAACTTCTTGATCAGCATTGGAGGTGTTATAATAATGGTAAGTAAATAAAAAAATACACCTAAAGCACTTTAAAACATACATTTACACTCATGCTAATCTGTAAATTTATAACAGTAAACTCTGGTAGTATTAAATATACCAATCTGCAAGGTTTCCTCAACTTTAATTACTTCCTCGATGGAAACTAAAAACAAAAAAATTAATACCAGCATAGTCATGCAAATGTGTACTCTCAACTGCAAACTCCCTTTGCTACTTATGCACATTTTTCACATCTATGTACTTTTTGCCAAACACATTTTTTTATTGCTAATAGATTTAAATAGGATAATGACCTACTTCCCACATAAATTAAACCTGATCACAGACTTACAATTATCATAATTATTAGGCCTAAGGTATGATTTTTAATTGAAGTAAAGAACTCAGTGCAGGTGTCAGAATTGAACAAGCTCTCAAGGGTGCAATTGGAGCAGCTTTTGCATTGGAGGCCTTAATTTACAGACAACCAGGAGCACAAGTAGACTCTGTATTGACAAGATAATACAGTATTGACTTTTGTTGTCTTTCGAGATACTTCCTTCAATATAAACTCACCAGCAAGTAGGAAGCAAACAGGACATGCATATTCAATATCTCTGGCTGCTTAATAGGCTGTTAACACTTGACACAAAAATAATAGGAACTACCTTGCAGTGACCAACATGTTATTAGTATCACTCACCTTGCCCTGGAAGCAGACACATAATGTGTAGTCCCCAGGAAAATTGGTGGATTCCCTGACGAGGAACAGGCCGTCCTGCTTGGGGCTCAACAGCTGCTCTGCTCTGTCCCTTGAGATCTTCCCGTGGAACCATCTGTGATCATACACCAACATTAGAACACAAACCTACAAGTAGACTATAGTTGTGAACGTTGGTGATGGGACAGCTCAAAATGACATTTTTCAACTAAGTAAAATGTCAGCAATTAATTTTGATTGGTGGTTTTGGGTATGATGTGCTAAAACTGAGCAAATCCTGAACTTGTTACAGACTTTCAGAAACTTTGCTTAAGAGCGCAAGCCACAGATTCTCAGAAATAGGCGAGCCAACTCTTTTTTTACAACTGATAGTTTATTTTTATCATTGTCTGCAGCTTTAGTGTCTGACAACTTTGAGCTCAGGTTATTTTTATTTATTTCGTACGTTTGGATGTCATTGGCATTATAATGTTTTCTGTAAGGGAATGGTCAAAGACCCCTTTACTAAACATTTTTACCATCTAACTTTGACCTTATTAGACAGCAGCAATAATTTATAGCCAAAGGTACAAATGGACAAATGGTACCTAGATCCTGAATCCATCTTGCTTAGAATAGAACCAGCGATCTTAAGATTTGAAGGCAATCATTCTAAACCATTTGGTTATAGATTTGTTATCAGAAAAGTAGCATTATTTGTAACACTAGAGCTGCCTAGTATACTCACGGCATAGCACTGAGCTTGACCTCCTGCTTGTTGTCCCGCTGGGCCGGTGTAGGCGCAGGGGTAGGTGTAGGTGAGGGGGAGGGAGGAGACAGTTTGTCTGTATCCATCAGATCTGAGGGGAGGGTCCAGCCCGGGCACTCGTAGTAGCCCACTGGCTGGAACCCCTGTAACATTACCAACACCACGACATCAGTAACTAGACAATGAAGAATGGATGTTTCTACATAGGGTGTTGTATCTGCAAATCATCGCTGTATACAAATACAAATCCCTTTGGACTCCTGTTATGACAAGAAAAGCTTCCTTACCTCCAACTATAGTGCAGAAAGTTTCGTAAACGTAATTTTGCACTTGCAATGAAACTAGTCAGCATTTAGTTAATGAAAATTTGGACCACAGACCTAATAATAAGGGAAGCCCATTTTGTCAACAGTGCACCATTTAATGTATTCTCAAACATTAACAGTTTAAACTGAGTAACCAATGGAGAGATATAATGTCTTAACATATCCAGGCCAACTTAGTTGACTCATCTGTTTTTATTTCAACAGTGTAATACGACCTGTGATTAGTTCATGTCTGGTGACACTGGTCGCTAGAGTCGACAACATTTTGTTTCTGTTATTTTAGGGTTAATTTTATTATTTGTGCTTATTGTTTTTGTTGTATAACTAGGACGAGTTATTGTTTATGATCGGATTGTTTTATTTGGTTGAAAGATGTTTAAATGACTGAAACCACAAGAAACAAATTGTAAACAAATACGACCTCTACAGTGCATCGGACAGAACTAACAATAAAATTGGCTTCAGCTGTTCAATAAGGATGTGAAATCTACTAAGGGAGTATGTTTTATTTATGGTATAAGGCACATGTCTGACAATTACACAAAACTAACAGTTGTATTACTTTGATACTTTGGGTCTTTTCAACTAAAATGTTTGTCAATCAAAGGAGCATGATTGTTAACTCTTCTCCACACTATCTTAAATTATAAAAAACATTAAAAGCCTCTATCACATAAAACTTAAATCATACACATTCACTTGAATTAAATGTAAATGTTAAATTGTTTACCGAGTCTAGGCCAAGCTACTGCAAGCATGCAGTTGACATTGAAAAATCAATTAATTTTACTACTTTAACTTATCTGTTAGTGTTTAGTCTTTCTGTACATCTGTGCATTACAATTGTTTGTCTTCTTAGATCAACCAACACAATCATACATAAGTTTTAAGTAAACTTTCCTTATTGCTATCTGCAGTTTAAGTTAACACTCATAGACGAGGATATGCGATATTCTACAACTACGGACTGTGACATGAAGGTTTCTGTGGCTTTTTCCACGTGTCAAGTTACAACCATGCTAATTACCTGTGTGAACGCAGTTCCTTGTAAGGTCTGACTCATAACTGGAGAGGCATTTTGCAGACGACACCTCCACCTGTAAAAAAAAAAATGTTTAACTTTCAAGTTGAGGTTTGAATTCACAAGTAGTTTAACACAGTGGTCAAAGAATATGTTCAACATTCATTAAATTCGTTTAATTATACTGTAAGACAAACCATGACTAAGGAACAAAACCTACAGTGCAAGAATTCATCAGCAAAGTATGATACAACAAACAGAATTTATGTTATAAAGTTATTATCTCAGTTAACAGAGCAGGGATTTCAGGAACATGTTTAGTTTAAATTCCACTTCGGCCTTTACCTTTTACAGAACCATTTATTTTTTTCTCAAAATGACTCAAACCCCTGCTTTATTTGATATAATAAATGTGTGGGTATGTGGATGAAGAGTTGCCAAGTTAAAAATAACAAACATAGCCTAAATTATGGTAAACCTGATCAGCACTCATCAAAAAGAATTCAACAGTTTGTGTGTCGGAGCCTCAAATCAAAATGACAGAAAAACTTCTCTTAAAATATAGTCTAGTAAAACCCCAGTACAGATTCAATTTGTAAGTAGTATTGTATACAAACTTGCTACCGGTATTGTACTCAGCAAAATTCATGATGTAATAAGAGGATAGTACGATAAACGTTTTCATAAAGGTTTCTTACAAATCATGTTACATAGTTTCAAGTAAATGAATCGCAAACTACATATAACCTAATTCCAATCAGGAAGGGACCCTTCTTTGTTTGAAGACAATCAACGGATCAGGAGTCATTTATTTGCAAAGGTTCACTTGCTTATCAAGTTATGATGATGCAAAATTATGTCACTTCGTTATCAGCGTTTATTTTGAAAGATTTACTAAAGGAAGAGCATTCATTTGCTAGACCAAATCAAATAAATGTTTAATACTCAATGTTGTGATTCTCGTAAAAATGTTTTAAAATAATATTTATTAGAAACTAGCTGTTGTACCCGTGCTTTGCAACGGGAAGAGGACACAAAATAGAAACATTTTAATCTTTACATCTGTTGCATATAATAGTTACACATCCGCCAACACTTTTAGAAACGAAATTAAACTTTTATGGCCTTAATAGAAACGTTTAAGTTATGACTTTAAATCTGGTAAGTAGTGGGTACCACCATTTCATCTCCCTTAATTACATATCTTTTTATTTATTATTGACATTTTAAATTTCAATTTTGAAGTTATTACTAATTATTAAATTTAAATGAACATCTTTTTTTAAATTTCACTCTTCTTTATATTAAATCACAAATCCTTCCATCTTCAGTATCTTCACTCACAATAAATTATTAGCAAAACTAAGTCAGCTGTTATAAACTTTAGAAATATTGCTGTGCCTTACCAATACAGTTTTTTGAAATATTAAAGAAACTATATCTATAGGTACTATAAAAAATTTTAAACAAATAATTTAGCATTAAAGACAGTAGGCAAAACTAATATGATTATAAAAACATCAAGGATTAAAAAATGTAACAGAAAATACAGTATATGTTTCACTGCATCTCTGATTCTACTCTACAAAAATATCAACAAACAACTTAATATACAAACCAGTTCTTTTAATCAGTTCCATCTCCATTGCCTTTACATATTACCATTAAGTAAACATAGTAACAGATATTGCATTGATTTTAGAAACAAAGGAACACAGTGTACTGCTTAGTTTTATGATATTTTCCTTGGTTTAATTTAATCAGTGGTGTGGCAAAACACAAATAATAAATTGATCAAATAAAGTAAATGTGAACTGAAAGCCCGAGAGCTATGTTAAGATAAAATAAGAGTATTGTGTATTACCATTTGATACTTAAATATATCACATATAGGCTACAACAGATGTTAGAAAAAAAAAATCAACGGTACAATTTAGTTATGTGCAAGTTATGTTAAGTTAATCTAACACATTTTAAGTAGTTAGAATTTATTTAAAGTAGCCTCCAAATTCATATAAAACATCTATACATTGTAATTGGCATACTGTTTCCATGAAATCATATAAATAATATTATTTTCATAGCTTAGACGCTTTAAAAAAATCCAAAGCAGAGCCGGAGTTGATACCAGGAGTTGATACAGCAACGGTTATAGAATCTTTTTTTTATATAATCATTGACATAGTTTTAGAAAAAATAATCCATGATAAAAGTTTAGATTAAAATAAACCTACCTCATAGTTATGGAAAATATTATATTTAATTTCTTTGTATCAGCTGTCTGAAGTTGTGAAATATGCAGTTTAGCAGTTCTTCTTGTTTACATTTAAATGTCAAAGCAAATGTAAACAAACATTGTTAGTGTTCTCATCAAAGCCATGGAGACCAATCAATATTTACTTTTAAAATCTTCACATCAGAACTTTTAAAGCCAAAAGGGCAAAGCCTACGGTCAGTATCGAAATGTGAATATTCCTATAATGGTCCTTGGTATGATAACTATATTTTTGTAAAATTTTAGCCCAGTTGGTTCAGTAGTTTTTGCACCTATTAGTAATACACATACAGACACCATTAGATTTTTATATAATAGTATAGAAGTATAGATTGTGTCTATTTTATTTCAATAAAAACATTCAGATTTACTATCATTAAAAATCATTTATAGTTTAAGTACATAATTACTTTTCCAAAAATGTATATTTAATTAGTTTATATCTGTGTAAATAGTTAACTTCACAGTCAAGATTATAATACTTAAACATGTTAAAAAAATGTCCAAATACAATAATCCGCTTTCTATGGTATTAAGCATTGTATATTGTTTGGAAAAATTTAAAAAATAATAAGACAAGTAGATCATCTGACATTCCACGACTAGAATAGAAGCTGACATGTTTGGGGCCCGATGTAGTGTAGTGTGGCATTGAAATTTAAATACAATGACCAAAAGTCCTTGACAGCAGCTATATGTCAACCTGACAGATTGTTTACGTTTCAAATTGAGTCCCAAATTGTTTCTTTATTGAAATTCTGACTTCAGTTGTAAAATTTAAATTATAGTTTTAGGTCTTAGATTGATTTTTAAATGAATACCTCAAACTGTAAAACTGCATTTGTCTGAACAGAGAAGGGACATTATTTGACAAAATATTAACACCTAATAGAGTACAATCAAACTTGTGAAGAGATACAACTTACTTTAGGCTTACTATGTATACTATGTAATAGGCATTATTTAATAGAAACAGCTACACTGTACTATAAGCTTAAAAATTAAAGATTTTTTTCTTGCCATCACAACCCAAAACAGTTTTTGTCATTAAAAACTACACATAAAAACATGCACCTCTATTAAGGTAGGTATGGTAATATATTTCAAAACAATCAAAACTGAAAAAAGTGAATAACCTTAGCAATTCTTTTAATTTTGACACTGCTAAACTTTTACCATTTTTTAGGTTTTCTTTTATTAAAAAATAAATACTACAAAGAAAATCTTGAGGTGTGTATAGCTTAAGAAATTGTTTTTCAAACAAATAATAACTCTCACATCACAACTAGGCTATACAAAAACACAGTAAACACAACACAAACACGAATTTATAGACAAAAACTCAACTTTCTACAGTTTAAAATAACAACATGTATTATTGACTAATGATGAGGAGAAAAAGTTAGAAATTGGCCTGAATATAGGAGTGGTAGTTGTGTAGTTGTGGTAGTTCCGTTTTCCCACATTAGTAAGCCAGGTTAATTGATGTAATGACTAAACTCAATGATAGCCTGACACGCCATCAGTCTGGACTGCATCCCAACTGACTTACACTCTTCCATTGTCTCATACAAAGTGTGGCAAGATAAATTATATATGTTCCTGCTGCTGCAAACCTGCAGCGAATTTCAAGGTCTATTCATGACTTTTTTATCCAAACAGGTAAAATTGAAAGAAGATTTGACCCAAGTTCAATACTCAATCAAAATAGCACTGGGTCAAAACGTTTGCTACTACAAAGGTCATACAAAATAATTGTACTGTGTAGACAAATTTTATATTGACAAATTGTTTCAAATATTTTCAAAATGAAACAATGCCTACAGCATTTAATATATTCACCACAGGTACCATAATAAGCCAACTATGTTCGGCAAATTTTATATCTCACAAACCAGTAAAAATTACTGGAGCTCAATCGAAATTTTCTTTAGATGGATTTAAGAGGTAGGCCTACAAATAGTTTTTAAATTAATTCTGTTGCGAAATGAAGTTAAAGCTGTGATTGTTATGGGTGCAAACACCCAAAACTTTTCTTTGATTCCCTAGTTTGAACTCGTACGTTAACGTATCTAAATTTACAGAAGTTGGTTCACACTTTGATTTCCTCAAAATTCCAACCATATTTTTAACTATTTATCAATGAATACAGAAACTTTTGTGTATTCATTGTATTTATAGTGCCTAAATAGGATTTACAACGTAAAATAAGTCCTGCCACATGGTAAATCCACTCATTATTTGATATATAATTTTGTACTCTTAAGTGGTTGTTAATCAACTCCTTAATACGCCTCACATTTAGTCTATTGCAGACAAATTATTGTGACAGTCATAGATTTTTTTTATTTCTCCTAAAACGTTTAGTAAACATATCATCCTGTAGGAAAAATAGCCTAGCCTGCAATAAGTAGCAACAATGACACAATTATCATATCACTAAGCATTTCATCATAATGACATGATTCATCAATGCAGAGAGACTCTATTAAACACTTGATAATGTACAGTATCTCAGTCTCAGACAATAGGATGGCGCTAATAGTTTTAAGATTTCAGTGTGTTTTATAGCCTAAAGGCATATAATTCACCGGTGTTTAAAACTATCATGTCACTCAAACAGTAAGATCCTTTTAATAATAGTTTTTAAAGAATCATTTAAGTACTTGAGTTTTAAGTAGGAGACTCCGTAGAAAAAGATTCCATAGAAGAAAAAAAAACATTAGTAGCTTACAATTTGAATTTCAATTTCATAGCAATTTAGGGGAACAATTTAAATTTTCACAATGATTAGTAATACC